AAAGGTCTTTGACAAATGGTAGAAGACTTTTCTTTTTATTTATTCAAACTATGATAAAAGTTAAAAATATTCTAAAAAGTTAAAAATTTGTAATAATTTTGGAAAAAGATGAAAAATTTGGAGAAATTTTTGGACAAATATTTATAATTAAAAAAAGTGACTATGAAAAATTCTCAAGACTGTGAGAATTATTTTCTTATAGAAAATAAACAAATCCATTAGATCACATTAAATGATAATCATTGCATAAAAATCTATAGAACAAAAACCTATTTAAAATTAGCGTAGTTGATCAACATTACCAAATTATATAATCACTCAATATTTGCATAATATATTTTTGATTAACATTTCTTTTTTTAGTACAAAATTCAGGAAATTTTTGTAAACTGCATAATTTTAAGAGTTTGATAAAATGCATACATAAGAATCAAGAAATATAAAAATATTAGTATTCCTGAAAAAGAAACTACTTGCAATATTTATATAATTTATATATTAAGAAAAGTTAAACAACATAATCAGTTGATTAAAGATTAATTTTAGATTTATATCTAACAATTTTCTCATGATAGATTTCTTAAATATTAGTGGTCATATAACATATCTCAAGTATTATTTTAAAAACTTCAAATTGATATATCTTAGTCAATAATGCTTCAATTTTTTATGAAATAAAAACTATAACATTCATCTTATTAAAGTATATATAATAAACTTAAAATTATTTTTTTTTATTATTAAATATAAGATAATATAAACAGTATTTAAATTATTATATCTTAATAAATAATATTATAAATAATATGAATATTTTAAATTTGATTTAATATAATGAGATAAATCTAATAAATTAAAAATTATTAAAATCTAATCATTAAATAGCTAAATAATATATTTTAAAGAAATGCTAAATTATTTTTATAATAAAAAATATTAAATATTAAATTTATTTTTAATTAATATATATTAAGATTATATTTTAACAGAGATATATTTTTAATATTTTAATATTATAATAATTAAGTTTTTTATTTTTCAAAATTAATTAATTTAATATTATACAAGTGATAGTTTTAAAGAATCTTTAAATTAAAATATTAAAATATTTTTTTTTGCGATAAAGTAATTTAGCAGTTTTTATATACAAGACAAAATTGGTCTTCTAAACCTATAATTTATTACTAATTAAAGTTATAGCACTAATAAATTTACATATTATAAATAAATATCAAAATCGTACATATAATATTTAAAGTTTAAAATTAATTGTGTATTACAATTTAATGATTTTAGCAGTTTTTTATATAGCAATAATGATAAAAGATTAATATTAAAATTTTACTTGTATTATTGTTATTAAGATATTAGATAAAAATCATTGTAATATAACAAATAAATAATTTATTTTATAATTATAGTATAGATTTAAGCATATAGATGAGGGACAAAACCCCTTAATAACAGTCAAAACTTAGATGAAACTATATTAAAATCATAATAAGGGATACGACGAAACCCATTTGATATGACGAAAACTGAAACTATTAAAACTATATTAAAAACATAGAAAAGGGTATGATGAAATTATTTTGAGGAGGTTTCGGCAGGCATCTATATTTAAGCATTAACTTTGAGTGTCTGAATGGAAGGTTTAAGGGATATGAATATTTTTCATAAAAAATTTTTTTACATCTGTTTTTTTTTTTTTAGAAAATAAATACCATATACAATCAACTCTTGTTATAACGAACTCTATGTCTTAGACTTTAACTTTGCTATAAAGCTATAGTGAAGATTTTAAGAGATTTGATTAGCCAATTCGTTATAACAAGAGTATTTTTATTATATTTGTTTAAAAAATTCGTTATATCAAGAGTTCGTTATATCAAGAGTTAACTGTAATACCATATAAAATTATAAAATTAATAAGAAATTATAATTATTTTTTTTTATATAATTATTTTTCCAATATATTTTAACACAATTTAAATTTCATCTTATACTTTCAGATTAAAATTGATTAAATATGTTAAAAGCTTCATTTTCAGGAAAAGTATTATAATTAAATATTTTTTCAAGTATTTTCTTTTCATTTTTACTTGTTTTTCTATAAGTTTGTTTTTCATGATTTATTTCTTCTTTACTTAAATTTTCATTTGTTTTTTTATTACTTGTTTTTTCTTTTAATCTTCAATTTGTAAATTTTGAGATTTATATGCTATTATATTATGAATATGATGACCTTTTACATTTTAAATTTCTATTTTATTAATATCTTGATGTTGTATTACTTTAAGTCTTTCAATACTTTGATTATAATAAATAAATACATATTTAAAACCTTCTTCATTCATTTCTTTTGTATTTTTAAATAATTCATAATTTAAAGAATCTGGTAAATTAAATGCTTCTAATAAATCTTCAGTAAGTTTCTATAATAACTTTTTTCTTGATTTTATAGTTTATTTTTCTCTAATTAAAATTGAATTTCTAACATATTCTGACAATAATAATATAAGTCTTTTTTTTCAGTTTGTACTGATGATATTTGTTATTTTAAATTATCAATATCCATTTGATTTCTACCAATATTTTATTTTACAAATTTAACACCAAATCGTTCTAATGCTTTATCAAATGCAAAATAATATCCTAGATAAGTAAGATTAACTAAATATATATATTAAAGAAATTTTTGTAAAGTTAGATCATCATTAACATTTGATAAAAAATAAGTTACAGATTTTATATAATTATTTTTACCAGTAATTAGAAAAAGTGGTGAAAATGCTACTAAATTTTTAAATTGTATATCATAATTTCTTCTTCTTATTCTGATTTTATGACCAATTTAATATCCAGCCTAACAAAAATAATAGTTCTATACTTTTAATATATTATTACCATTATTCTCAATATCTTTCATAGTTTTATTATTTCTATTTAAATATTTACATATCTTAATACTTATAGCCATCTAAATTAATTCTAAAACTCTACATACAGCTGTATAATCAACAACTTTTTCTAATTTATTTAAATAATATACTTCTAAATTTGCTGTTAAATTAAAAATACCATAATCCAAAAATATTGTAATTAATGCATTATACATATCCTTTGATGTATGCCATTGATATAAAATTAATCTTACATTATTTTTTTTTCATTATAAGATATTAACATCTAAAAATTGCTTTATCACAAGCTACATCTAAATAATCACTATTTGATTTTTCTACATCATTATAATACATTTTGCAAGCATTATAAAGATTTATATCACAATTCAGATTTTCTTCTGATTCAAATATTATAACATTTGGTGATATAATTTGACATCTAATTAATACATTTTTTAAAATTTCTTTATAAAAATTATTTACATCCCAATTATTCAAATTTATTTTTATAAGTTTTTTAAAAATATTTTCATAATTTTTAATAAATTATTAGTAAAGTCTGATTTATCAAATAAAATTGCATTATTATTATTATTATTATTACTATTACTATTATTATTATCATCAATAATCAATTTTAATAGTACTAATAAAAGAAACTAAAAAACTATACGTAATGTAACTTGTGAACTATTCTGAGTTGTATCAAAATATTATCATATTTAAATGTTTGTTCTTAAAAATCAATATTATCTATTACAGATACATTTTAAATATTTTCGCCTTGAAATAACCTTTCTTTTAAATCTGCTTTTTTTTCTATTTTTTTCTAACTTTCTTTTATGTGATTGTGTATGAGAAATTACATTAGCTATGCAAAGAATAGCATATAATGATATTAACAACTTCAGTTTTCTACAAAGTGAACTCATAATATTTGTTAGCCAAATATTAACTCCAGAAAATGCAATATTTAATATAATCAAAATTAAAAATGTTGATTTTTTTTGTGCATATATAATATCAAAAGGTTTTTCTTCAACTCCTTTTTGCTTTCTTTTTTTATTTAATATTTTATGTTTCTTTTTCTCTAAAATAACTATAAGTCCATCAAATAATTTTAATAAAAAATTTGAAAAACTATTACAATATTCTTATAGTGAGGTTGAATTATTACTTCTATTTATTATTTTTACAATATTTACTTTTTCAATATATAAAGCCATTTTTATAAGAAATAAACTTGATAATTCTTGTAATAATTTTATTGATATTATTGATGTTATTAATACAGTTGATGTTAATGATGTTATTGTTATTATTGTTGATCCTGTTTGATCAAATATAGTTAATATTGAACTTAATTCTGTTAATAATTTTTCTTTTTGATTTTTTTCTTTTAATGATACTACATTTAAAATCCATCTTCCAATTAATTTAAATGCATTTGTTGATCATTTTTATGTTTATTTTTATATATTATAGTAGATTTTTTTCCACTACCTTGATGTTCAAAAAATGTCTACTATTTAAATTAAAGCATTTTGAATATATATAATGCATTCTAAATTTATTAACTGATTTGTTAATAATTATATTTTGTATATTAAAAACAGGACAAACTTTAAGACTAGCACATGATACTTATATGTTTCTTTCAACTATGCTTACTGAATATTGTAAACAATTATTTTCACAATTAAAAAAATACTTAAATTTATTATAAAATAAATATCGTCTTTTATAAATCCAACTTTTTTCTACTGATTGTTGTTGTTTTAATTTTAGATTATAAAGAGAATTTTAGTTAAAACTGTAATAAGACATGCATATTCCCAATATATATAATTTATTTTCTACTTTAATATTAATAACTATTTTCACTATCAATTTTCCATATACTAATTAATTGTGCTAAAGGATGTTGATTTAATGTTTTATTTTTACAACTCTGTATTCTAATATCTTTCATATCTAAAACAACACAAAATGTTAATAACTTACTAGATTTACTTTTGATTTAATAATTATTTTCTTTTCTATTTATTCTATTATAATTGATTCTATTTCTAAATTTTCAAAATTAATATCATTCTAATTAATCCTATTATCATTATTATTATTATTTGCATTTATTATTTCTTGAGCTTTTTCTAATACTATTTCATTTAATATAAACGGTAAAATTTCCTTATTATAACTTGTACTTTCTGTTGTATAACTATTAATATTTGATATTATTGAACTCAAATTATCATTATCCAAATTTGTTATATTATCTTCTTTATTTAAATAATTATATTCAAAATCATCTTCGTCAATAAAAACATTTTTCCAAGTGTCACTTTATTTATTCAATTCTATTAAAATTAAAAAAATAATAATTAATAAAAAATCATAATATCATCAATACATTAATAAATATTTATTTTTTGTATTATTTAGCAATTCTGATATTGTTATTTTATTATTTTATTAAAAACAAAAACAAGCAAGAGACAATGAATTATGTGAAAAAATAAGTGTTGCAAACTTTTTAAAGAAAAAAATTATAAAGGAAATTATTATAAAAAGAAAAATAAATTTAAAATAAAATGTAATTTTTTGAATTATTTATTTTGTTCTAATAAGTATTAAATGATACTTTATAGATTTAAAAAAAATTTGAATTTAGTGTTTACATATGAAAAATACAATAATTATAAGTTTAAAACATAACTAGTAAAATGGATTATCTAATATGAAAATTTAAGTAGTAAATTCTTCAAGATCAAATGAATCATCCAGTCTAAAATTAAATAGTAAAGCTTTTAAGATTATCTAGACTAAAAAAACTAGAATAAGATTAAAGCTGAAAATATAAATTAAAGCATTTATTATTAAAAAATAAAATTAATTTTTCTGATGTTATTATATTACACCAAGTAATTTTAAAGATTTATAAGATCTATAAAAAGTAAATTTACTAAATTTGTTTTTTGATTTTAAATTCTATAAAAGGTAAAGATTTTTTAAACAAAAAAGGTAAAGAGTACCTTATCTCAGTTTACATATCTATAAAAGGAAAAGTACTTCTAATTTTTTTTTTAAACAAAAAAATAAAGAATCCCTTACTTCGGTCTATATATTTACAAAAAGTAAATGCTTTTTAAACAAAAAAAGTAAAAAATTTCTTACCTCAGCTTATTTACAAAAGGTAAGTATTTCTAATATTTTTTTAAAATAAAAAAAGTAAAGAATCCCTTATCTCAGTTTACATATCTACAAAAGGTAAGTGCTTCTAATTTTTTTAAACGAAAATAGGTAAAAAATCCTCTACATTTGCTAATTTACAAAAGATAAGTATTTCTAATTTTTTAAAACAAATAAAGAAAAAAAATCCCTTACCTCAGTTTATATAATGCTCAGAACGTTTTAGATTAATCCAAAAATTTTCAGCTTTGGTTCAATTTTGGATTGCATAATGATAAAAATCAATCTAAAAATCAGCCAGTTTATTTCAAAAGAATGATAAAATTATTGTTTTAAATAAACGATATAAGAATTATTTGATTAAAATGATAAATCATCATTCTAAAAAATGATAAAAGCATTATTCTAAATAAATAATAAAAATAATTGTTTGATTTGAATAATAAAAGCATTGTTTGATTAAAATGATAAATCATTGTTCTAAAAGAATAATAAAAGCATCATTCAATTAGAATGATAAATTATCATTCTAATAAAACAATAAAAGCATTATTTGATTGAAATGATAAATTATCATTTTAAAAGAATGATAAAAGCATCGTTTGATTAGAATGATAAATTATCATTCTAAATGAATAATAAAAAGAATCGTTCAATTAGAATGATAAATTATTATTCTAAAAAAACAATAAAAGCATTATTTGATTGAAATGATAAATTATCATTTTAAAAGAATGATAAAAGCATCGTTTGATTAGA